GGTCAGAAATTAGAAATTGCAAATTTACTAACGAAGATGGCGACTGGATCCACGCTATCGGGGCAAAACACCACACGGTCTTGTGTGTATTCGCATTTGCCAACCAGCATACACCAGATCTACCATGTACTATGCTAGAGTTGAGCTTAGGTTCTCGGTTGGCTTGGTGCAAGTAGTTGGTAATGAAGGATGCGTAGGAATCCCTAAAAAAGGGAGAGAAAGGAGAAATTTGGCATAGCGGGGTAGGAAAAATAGTTGCCACTTGTGTCTAACATCAGTTGCCACCTATCATTGTCGTTAACTGCCACCATGTTAACCTGTTGCTTGCCATCCTATTGTGGTGGCTGTTGCCATCGCTTCAAAAAGATAGTTGGCACCCAAATTTCAGAAAAGAGAGTGGATGTGCATGTCCTACTTGCCATGATGTGTTGGTTGCCTACACAAAAAAATGTGATAAGATTGTCGTGTTATCTTCTACGTGCAAACAGCAAAAAATGCATTTTTTGCGGATTATTGATGCGTTCTTGTTCATGCAGTGATTGAGAGCGCACTGGCAGAAACAAAACGCGGAAAGAATGAATCACGAAGATGGCACTGATCCTTGTGTCGGCGTTCTGGGAACCGAGGTCCCCAGACTTGCCTGCCTGCGACATGGCTCAAGTAGTGGCCCAGTACGACCCATCTTCATCAACCCAAACTCAAGACCCTCGCGAGGGGCCAAGCCTCGCGGGGCGGACGACGCAGGGCTTCCTCAGGGGCAGCCTCATCAGGCTGGCTCGCGGGGAGGCGGAGAGATCAAGGCAGGGGTACCTCGCGAGGTGCTCATGACGCAAGCCATGACGGTCGAGACCAGGCGGGCGCCAGCCTGCGAAGTGTCCTCGTTTCCTCTTTGGTGCAAAGGGGCAAGCGCAGGCGCGGAGTACCGAGGCATCAAGCAAAGGTTACCATTTCGGTGCAAAGAGACCAAGACTAGCAGAGCGGCAGGACGGAGGTCACTGTGGAGCACAAGACGGCGTCATCGCCAGTGCCTTTGGCAGTCGAAGACCAATTTTAGTCAGGATAACTTGCACTAGATGTTCCCCTTCAAAATGGTCGTTGTTGGCTCCCTTCCCGCTCAATATTTGGGGAGAGGGCCAGGGTCTCTATACATAGAGATAGCCACCACAGGAGAGGGCATCGAGTTCTCATTTGATCCGGAGGCGATCGAACCCACCTAAGTAGAACACCGCACCAGCCCAAGAACACCTCTCGCGAGGATGTTCTTCCTCTGTATTGTTCATCATCAGCCACTGAGGCAATCCACCACACCACAAATTAGAGTAGGGTATTACACCACAACGGTGGCCCGAACTAGTATAAACCCCGTGTCCCTTGTGTTGTTCATCGTGTAGCTTAGATTCGCAGCGAGACATTGGGACGTGGATCGATAGGGGAAAGATCTTCGCGCGCACCGCAGAGTTCGAACCTTAAAGGTTTTGCTGGAACCCGATATCCGACACCTTGGGTTTCTCAAAGGCCAGAAATGCCCCCTTGGGATGCAGCAGAGTGCAGTCAACTCATTTCTGCAGGGCCGTTGCTGCCACTACTAGAGCAGTACACAGGCATTGGTATGATGCATGATAACAAGAAAAGAACATTTGCCATGTTCGCGACGATGAAGATGACATTCTACTTATGTCCTACAATGTCATTTTCGCAGGTTCTTATGACCAAAACACATTCAGGGGGGCACTATGGCAAGTTCAGTCACAGGACGCTAACATTGACAAATGTACGGGCAACCAACTTCAATTAGCTAATGTGGCAAATCAAGGTAACGCATACGAAAAAGAAACATACTGGTGTGGACATGAAAATTAAACTTGTAAAGGATGGCAAAAGACTCACGAGTTATATCGGGAAAAATGTAGGACCTTCATGCAGCACGTGGCATCAGGCGGCAACCATGTACCTACCATCGACGTCATACACAGGTGAGTCCACAAAAAGTGAGGTTGCAGACGGTGAATTAGCAGAAGGAACATAGCTGACAACTGTAGTTGCCATGCCTGGACAAACTACAGTTGCCATGTATGATCAAATGTGATTGCAATGTATAAACAACCGTGGATGGCAAGTGCGAACAAATCTGTGTGGCATGGTTGGACCACTACATGTGCCATGTTGAAGAAACTACAGTTGCCATGCAGTGACCAACTACTACCATGATTATAGGTTGTTACGCTGGGACTACATCGGCAAACGTCTCATGGCAAGCTTCATAGTTGCAGGACAGCGCTATTGCAGATAAAGCACATCAAATTGGAATGACAGACCACACAAGATGGGCACATGCGGCACAACAAGGTAAGAAAATTTGAACCACAAAAAGAGCACTTCATTTGTTTTTGTGGGAATAGTGTTGGGGAACGTAGTAATTTCAAAAAAAATCCTACGCACACGCAAGATCATGGTGATGCATACCAACGAGAGGGGAGAGTGTCGTCTATGTACCCTTGTAGACCAAAAGCGGAAGCGTTAGAACAACGCGGTTGATGTAGTCGTACGTCTTCACGGCCCAACCGATCAAGCACCGAAACTACGGCACCTCCGAGTTCTAGCACACGTTCAGCTCGATGACGTTCCCCGTACTCCGATCCAGCAGAATGTCAGGGAAGAGTTTCGTCAGCACGACAGTGTGGTGACGATCTTGATGTTCTACCGTCGCAGGGCTTTGCCTAAGCACCGTTGTCGTGGTTCTAAGTCTGACAGTAGAATGGGGGGTAGGTATGGAGAGGCAAGATCCTAGCTATGGAGTAGTTGTGCACACGAGTGTTTTACGAGTTCAGGCCCTTCTCTAAGGAAGTAATAGCCCTACGTCTCGGAGCCCGGAGGCGGTCGACTGGTTTATGTGTATATGAGTTACGGGGGTGCGAACCCTTCTACCAGTGGAGGGGGGTGGCTTATATAGAGGACGCCAGGACCCCAGCCAACCCACGTAGCAGAGGGTTAAAGTACATTAAAGCTGGGCGTTACTGGTAACGCCTTACATAAAGTGTCATCATGACCATTAAGACTACTTAATTACAGACCATTTGGATACAGAGTAGATCCTGAACTCCTAATGGTCGAGTGAGTCTTCATGGTCGAGTGTGTTTTAGGTTCGTCGAGTGTCTTCTGGCTGGTCGAGTGGAGTCTCTCTAGGTCGACTGGAATGTAGCATCGTCTAAGGATGTCCTTGGGTATGGTATCCTAGATAGGTCCATGACCCTACCTTAGGTACATAACATCATCATTAGCCCCCGAATGGATCGAGGTTCGAGTGGGGAAGGAGTTGATGATTTTCTCCGACTTATTTCCTATGCTTTGATTATGTCGTATCTTGGATCGGCAACTTTTCTTTCGGCGTTGGCATCAACTTTTACTTCAGTCGCCTTGATCCATTCTTGTCTTCTGTCGAGTGAACTTTTTGGACTTTGGTGAACTTCCGAGCGACGGATCGCGGGAAAGATATCATCTGACAGATTTATCTGCTGTTAGCGGATTTTGCGGGATCCGAAATTTGGGAAGCGCGCGAAGCGGGGCGGACCGCGGCAATCGGATGGGATAAGGCATGGACTCCTCGATTTCCGCGCCGCCTTTTTCGCCACGTATCGTGCGTGCACGACTGTTTCGGGATGTGACAGGATCGCCCGGACCCACTTGTCAGCCACTCGGAAGTGCCCCTATATAAAGCGCCGGGGGAGGTTTTTTTTTGAACAGTGCCCTCCCACTCTTCTCTCTTCCCTCTTTGCCTCCGCCCACCGCGCCTGCTCTCGCCTCCGCCTATCCACACCTCGCGCGCTTCGCCGACGACAATGGTGAAGGAGAAGACGGCGGCCCTAGAGCGCGCGAAGAAGGCGACGGCGACGGGGAAAGCGAA